ATCGCTGTGAGTTAGCAAATTCGGTTGGATAACGATCGCAAACTCTGGCTAGACTGAATACACTAGTGTTAGAAAATAATCTTTTCTATTATCTCTTGAGTCTCTGAAAAGCCGTGTATATGCTGTTGTTTAATATTATTACTAGTTGTCAACGTGAACTTAATAGCACTTCAGATTTTATAGATGTTGTTATATCTCGTATGGCCTGTCTTCATTTGACCTTGCTTCTATAATCTTGTAGCAATTACACAATCACAAATGTCATAATGTTAATTTTCTTAGCACGCAGTAGTATCCATAGCATCAATTAAACTTGATCCAACATTGCACCAACTGAGATATCTATTAGGGATGACGACAGTTATAACCTAACAAAATAACTGTTTAATGAATGCTCCAGTCTTTTAATATTTCTGTTATTGAGGGTGGACACTATCTAATAATATAAACGTTCTTACACTAGCGATTTTGTTACTTTGTTCTATAGAGACACATAGGTACCTAATTTCATTGTTAAACTCATTTGTTTCATAATATAGATGTTTTATCTTATGATGAACTGTGATTGCAAATAAACGCTAAATATGATAAAAGATTACGCGCTATCTTATCGCATCACCGAAGCTAGTTTCATCTTCGGGCGTTACTGACTGAACAAAATGTATGCCCGCGTCACACTATATTAAAGCAGCACTTCTAAGTGAATCATAAAATGGCAGTTCCCCGTTCGCTCGTATCACAGACTCAACCACTTACGGGATCGACTTGCTCTCAGAGTCGTTTCGTAAATTAAATGCAATTAGCGTGTTAACAGTACTTTGCGTGTGCTTTATTAGGGTTGGTTGAACATCAAGAGAATCAGTTCTCTACGGGACTTATTACGAATTAACTATTTCAATTATCTATCGTTAATGTTCTTTTTCAATCACGCATAATGTTATAATCTTTTACTTAAAATTTTAACAAAATCTCAGATGTGTAAAATAAATTAGTAACGATCTAGAACAAATTAAATTTTTATGCCGTCGCCTCTGTGTACAAGTTGTCTTCACATTTTCATGAAGTCGATCTCACTGAAGGGGTCGGTCCTTGGTAGTGTTAATATTATAAATAAATAAATAAAAATAGGACCATCATAATCTAACTAAAAATAACATAAACAAGTTGTATGATATCTTCTATTGTGATTGTTTGTCTGTTTTTATCCTTACAATAATACCACCTTTTTACTTAAACAAAACCACATTTTTTTATAATAATTTCAAATTGCCGAAGCTCGAGAAAAAGAAATTGCTAATATAATCGTATCCGCGCAAACAAAGTGATATGCAACAACGAGTGATGAGATATTCTTTTATTATTAGTGTAATAAATCCAAAGGTTTTAGTTTATTTTAGGTATCAAAATAAATTTGACTTAACTTTTTGCATCATATTTTAATCTATTAAAAAGTTGCAATAATAATATCAATACTAAAAAAGCTATAGGCAATATTCATTTAACAAAATTAAATTATCGTAAGTAAGCTCTTCGGCTTAAAGTTCGATAGAAGTGGTTAGAACGGCCTCAATGGAAACCGATTTTTAACTGGACCGCTGCCGACGCGATTAGAGCAAAAAATCTCTTGACATGATCTGACCGGGCCTGATACAGGCAGCGTCGTTTATGAAGATGGTCGACAGACGACAGAGTCAAAGCAAAAAAAAAAGTGGATCAAACTTCACGAGTTATCTCCCTTTATTTAGGTCAAAATAAACCTCGCGCCATACAAAATAGTAATATATTTTCTAAAAAGATTTCTCAGTTATTACATTTATAACACTACTTTCTATGTAAACCAAGGAACTGCCTTCATACCGAGATCGTCTTTCCTTTTTTGGTCTGATGAGTCTGAAGGACAGACGATTACGTCTGGACCATATGTTACTTTATAAAGTTGTAAATGGATTAATCGATTGCCCTTTTCTATTAAGTCGCTTGAACTTTAATATTCCTCTCAGGCTCCCTCGTTTGGGCAGATATGTTTCGTCTTCGGTGAAGGGTAGTAAAAGTAACCTGGGCCACCATGCTCCATTAAATAGACTGCAAAGGCAATTTAATCTGTTAAACAAACAGCCAAAATGCCACGCGGATATTTTTTGCAATAAACCATTGCAAATTAAGCGAGAGGTGCGAGCTCTCATATCTGGACCTGTGTAGCAATATTTACTGTGCCTGTTTTGACATTTAATTTGACATTTGAATCATATTTTAATTTTATTTTTGTTTAGCTGTTATTATTGTCTACATTCTTTATAATTTTAATTAATTAATTTATTATTGCTTTTTTACATTTAATGGAATACAAATAAATTGTTAGTAATTTAAATTGTCTTGTAATAGTATATGTATTATTGACATCGAATAAGTGTATGTAATCAGAAAGTGTTCTGTTATTTATATCTACGTTTGCATGCCGTGGCAACATATAATTAAGGCAAAATTTAGCATCGATTTTATATTATAAGCACTGAATAATTTACTTATAGACGATTTGTGTCTTGTTGGTTGTCCTAATCAAATAAATAAATAAATGTAAAAATTTCAGGGTCGAATTTGACGTCGAGCAGTGCGCTGTCACAGCAGAGGTCCAATCAAATAAAAGGTTCTTCAAAAAAAAAAAACCTCTATGCTGCGACAGCGATGTGCTTGATGTTGTCGACGCTGAATTTTTCGCAGATAAGTAGTGTTAATAAATCGAATGGCCGAATGGAAATCTTTTTAGAAAATAATTTGGTAATTTGGTAGAACAAATTTTATTATAGTATAGCAAAACTGACAGATTACCGCTCATCAATTATAGTGTTATTAATAAACAAGGTTAAGCGTTGGAGTAAATTTACTCTGAGACTGCACTGAGTATTAGTTAAAATTCATATTATTATACAGAGACTTAGCGAAGGTGCAAAGATTAACCTAATAGGAGGTTCTACGGGAGTATTACTCCTAGAAGGTTTGCTTATTCTCTGTATTATATGAATTTGGACTAGTACTTAAATTGAAATTTTATCTTAAATTGACTCTGACGCTAAACTTGTTTATTAATGGCACTGTTAATGTTTTATCATATGTAAAGTTGTTGTATGTGGCCAGTAAATGTATTTCTTCTTAGAAAGATAGTTTTAAAAAAATAAGACTTCAATATCTTTGAAAAATTTCGAAAGCTCTTGAATAATTCAATTTAATTACGTCATTACTATACTGGATGTGAGAAATATCTTCCATGTTAAAATTATACTAAGTATCTCTAATTACAATCGTCACATCCCGACGCGTCGGTAAACGCGCAATTTCGATCTCGCACAACACAAACGGGAAAACATTCACAGCAGCTGTTGACACAAGCGATTATTATTGTGGAGTTTCCCCGAGCACGAGACACCATGTGTAATCCCACCCTCGATCTTGCAGGCTAGGCGGTGGGCAGGCGATAGGAAGGCGGTTCATCAATTCGTCTACATATTAGCTGTCGACGGGGGCAACCATCGCCCACCTCGGCACAGGAAAAACAAACATAATTCGGTTAGCGCTCGGCTACTCCACAAATATGAAGATGAAATTTTTCAGGCAGCCCAATTACAAAATCGGAATGATTTCAGCGATTTGTTAAATTATTTTTTATATGTTTCATGGGAAGGAAATGTATCATTTTTCTATTCACGAAACAGTAATATTGCTCAAACAATATAATCACTTTAATCGTATACTACTTGTCACTATTTACCTTGTCATTTGGACAAATATAGCGTTTACAATAATAATTTTGTCAATAATAATAATTGTGTGTTAAATTATAATTTTAATTGCAAAGTTTAATTAAAGTTTTTAAAACTATGTAACCTGAAAAGATATTATGCTAATAGGTACATTTTTCTATCTATAAACATTAGATAGGCAAAGATATCCTTTGAAATCAATATCAATTTCAAAGTCATATTTATCTTTGTCTTCATTCAAGTACCATTATTACAGATCTAAATAAATACAAAAAATCAATCGTCTGTGTACTGGAGGGCGCCAGAGATATTTAACAAATAAACAGTAATAGCTTGTATTGTTTTCATTTACGTGAATTTTACTATATAGTAAATTAAATACGAAAATAAGGACAAACAAACCGATCTGTTTTGTACAACTGAGTTGGACAGAAAATACAGGTACATACGTATAATATTTATATCGAGTCACTTCACTGGAGGTCACTCAATTCGATAATGGTTCGTTGAGTCAACTCTTTATTCTGCCAAATTAGCTATGAGCCGATTTCCCATTTGCTTTGAAGTATAGGAATCAGAATGTGGAAATATTATAATTGTTATAATAATTACTGCATGCTGATAATGAATGTAAACTGTCATAAAAAATTAATAACGAAAAGGTCGAACCGCTGTTTCAATACCAAACATTAAATCAAACACAAAAGTTTCGAAATAATTTTACATGTATGTCAATAGCGCATAAAATATAACTTTTACATCACATAATAAACAAATAATTAAACTTTACGTTGCCCAAGGCAGTAGGCATGTAAAAGTAAGGGCTATTTTTAGTTCAAAATCAGAGAACAACTCCAAAAATGGACTAATCTAATCTTCAGAGTTTTTCCACAGAGACGAATGATGGAGTATTTACGTGTTTTCATTAAAAGCGGATGTAAAAGTTGAAATCCATTTGCTATATTCGCGGCACGCATCGACATGAAGATAATAAAGCTCATAATAACTATTGACTTTAATTGATAATTTCTCAATACTAACGTATTTATAATATTTGATAAATTTTGTGTTCACAACGCTACAACGCGCAACGAAAAATGCTTCATAAATCCACCAGCCCCAGGTACTCAAAGTAATATAATACTAATATACTGTTACAACATATCATTGATAGCGTAAACATATATAACATGTGATATAATGTAGCGGATGAGGTAGAGTAGTAAATACTCAACAAAAACATACCTGATCCGATTGGCAACAAGTAATTCAGCGATGTCGCGTCCCAGTCGCGAGTAAGCCGATTCCACGATAACGAGAACTTTTGCGTCGATGCGCAATCGCGCATCTGAACGATGATCTCGTGCTATCTGCTGCTGTGACGCGAGAAGCGAACACTGGGACAGCGGACGTGGTACTCGATCACGCCACACCAGGCTACAACAAAGTCAAATGATCAGTACATAGAAAATAATAATTACTACGTCACATTTCGGTATAAACTAATTTCTTAAATAGCCAATAGAGAATTGACTATATCAGTGTTAATATTAAGAGGCATAGAAATTTAGGTCACAGTGGTCATATATTCGTAGAATCTACAGTCTACGTGTTGAGTTACGTAATGAAAAGTTGTTAGAAAATAACGGATAACGGTTGATAATACCAACAATGACTAAAATATGATTAGCCCCGTTAACATTCCTCAAAGTGGAATTTAATATAATGGATGGTAATTATATTAAATTCCACTTTAGGCATGCAAATGAACTACCAAGTAATCTACCTAAGCAGAATTCAGAAGAAAATCAATCAAAGCCTGCCAAAGTTAAGGTTGCGTTCCGAGTTGGAGCCACATCAAAGCGCCATTAGCGTTATCTGTAGGTATAGCATAAAATAAATAAAGGTGGAATTTGTTGAAATATTTATCCGTAGGCAGCTGCGATCCGGAGCTTGTGGCCTCTTTGCTTTAATGAAAGTCACGCCTTCACAACAGATTGAAAATCCGTCGTGAAAAGAAACGTTACATTCTCCTTTTATCAGCTAGAAAATATTTCCAAAAATTAGCCAGGTAGTACTTTCAATTAATTTCTTAATCATATTATACCATAGTTCAGCTAAAAAAATTTTCTGAGTCTATTTAACCACCAGCCAGCAGTTTCCGCGGCGGCGATTAACTTAAGAAGGTCCTAAACAAAACGAGTTCTGTGTGCGTTCGCAAAGCAACTTCCATTAATTAGCTTGAACATAAGTTTTGCTATAAATTCAACTGAGTCAGCAAAACTTGCCGCCCCTTGCCGCTCATCCCACCGATGTAATTTTAAGTCGATAAAATAAAATATTATCGCCCTAGTTCTGGGACATCCAGCCTTATTACATTAAATCACGTTATAAATTACTGTGAAATATTCGCCTTCTCCCGTCCTAATTTGGACGTGAAAAGCAGCCAAACAAAGAGCTACAAGGACGGCATCACAAAGTTAAACGCTTTTAATTCTTCTGTTAAGAAATTTTACGAATTAACTACCAATTTCATGCATAAATTAATCTTTTATTATAATGAAGAACAAAAGTACTTTGAACAACTCGACATTTAACAGTTATTGCGTCATGATCGCAAAGTCACACGTATTTCCTGCTAAACGACCGAAAAGTATTTCCTTTAAAATGGGACTTCCTATACGAATATTTCCTTCGAGTAAAACACAAAGGAAGATAAGAACGAGTTTATGCAAACATTTTACGACACTTCTATCAGATACACATATTACAGTTAAATGACTTCAAAACTTTCTTTTCATTCCTGCCCAAGTTCTTCGAGCGATTCTGCGTCTTATTTAGATATTTTATGTACCTACTACATACAAATATTATTGAAATACACCAATGTTTTGATATTATTGTCATTATTCGAATGCCGTGTGTCGAGTTTATTGTGATAATTCGGATGTCTAGTAATTATGCGAATCTATGCGAAATGTTAGTGAATGTTCGATTGAAACGGGAAACCCACAGAATACACAACGCGAGCACTGTGCGAGAGATCAACAGTTAACTTGACAAAACATATTAATGTGCCGTTCCGTTCTGCATTAAAGGATGACAGCACTTGTGCTATATATAGGATGTCGGTATGTAAGGATGATTAAATCGTTATAATTTTGAAGTCTTTGGTACACCTGAATTTTGAGACATATTAAAAAAAGAAAAAAGATTTGTTGTTGACCACAATAGCTAGTGATTTATGAGAGAAGAAGAAGTTTCAAGCCGACATGTAAATAACTTTACTAACTCTAATATGAAACCACCAACAATGTCATATCACTGTAAAACAATGTTAAATAAAACCTTATTAGGTAAGTTGGTAATCGTATCCAATTCTTTGATCGGTATCGAGCTTATTGCCGTCTATCTATCTACCTTCAGATTCTTCTGACTCTGCGCCGACAAGTGTGCGAAGTTTCATTGATTTACACACTTTTTTAATATTATTATTTTGATTGTTTAACCTTTTGATATGTTTGTGTTAACTTATATGACAAAAATGTAAGTTTGTAAACAAATAGAAAATCGTCAGGAATTCGCAATTAGTGTTTAGGAAACTTCACCCAAAAAGTCTCCGATAAAAGTGTCCTTTATTGTCCTGCACATTGGTTTCAATGTGTCGCCAACTCTGGTTCGATCCTCGATCGAGGGCTTTAGCAATTAAGTTTGGGATACGATCAATGTATGTGATAGTCTATATATAAAAGCGAAAGATCACTCATCACGAAATCTCAGAAACTACAAGTGTTTACTAGGAGCTTAAAATATTTTTATGCGGGTTTTTTATGACGTAGGTGACCACTAAGACGGGATTTTATGAAATTCAACCCCTAAAGGGGTAAATTAAGGGATGAAAGTTTTTATGAAACTTCGTTACTACAAGTGCTAGGAGTTTCAAATTTTGCATGCGTTCTTTTAAGGACGTAGCTGCTCATTAAGACGGGATTTCACGAAATTCGACCACTAAAGGGGTAAATTAGTGGCTGAGCTTTTATGGAATTTTCTCATTTCTGGACTTAAAACTAGATCACGTAGGCGAAGCCGCTGTGGGAAGGCTAGTGTCAAATATTTATATATTTAAACAAAATAAGCAACAATAAAGATCAAACCAAACACAAAACTCCAAATGATGGGAGCTAAGCAAAAGAAAAATGCAACTAAATAGAATTGTTGCAAATTAAGTGAAAAGTAGTCAAAATATCAACAATCATGTTACTCTTAAGACTGACGGTTAATTAGCTTCATATCCACTTAAATACCAGGTGATATACTTAACCGTTGTCGTCTAAGCTATCTATTAAATAAATTTATGAGTATTTGACTAACTTAAAAGATTTAATAAATATTAAACAATAAAAAGTGTTCATCATAAAGAACCTAAAGAAGCAGGGTTGGATAATTTCGGCACGATTCTCATGTCACCATAACTTTGCTAAATTTAAAACGTTGCCTAATCCCTTCTAACGTTTCGGCAGTACAGCTTTTTAATTTTGTCAGATTATGATGTATTCATAATAGTCAAAATAGGTAATCTGGGATTGTCATTAATTGTGAATGCTACTGCCTTTCTTGTTCTTTAAGCGTTTTTCGTGATTGAGTTGTTATTGTTTTAATGTTGTTTTCTTATAGTTTTGTTTTAGTTGTTATCTTTTTGATGTTAAGTTTCGCTAAATATGGACGATTCCGGTGTAGGCCCGAGTGGCCTACAACAATTACTTTTGACATTTCAGGCAGTTTTTTCAATGTCTTAATCAACAGTCGAATAATATCTGAGTATATGTCATAAATGTAATAATAAAATTTTCATTTTGTTTTCCTTGCTTTCCTGGGCATAGATATAACTAAATTCTATTCTAATTATATACACTTACAATTACAATTTATCAGAACAACAGATAAATTGTTTTAGTTCCATGTTTGCTTGGGAGTAAAAGATGAATTTAGAAATTGCTAGCCTTATCACAACCCCGAGAAAATGGAAAATGCCCAACTTTTTCAAACTACCTAATAGTCAAAGTTTCAACAAAACTATTATATGTATTTTTAAATTTATCTTGAAAATAAAATGTTCTGCACTGCTGCTTCTGTGATCCTCTTTTTTCTAATGTTATAATGAATGGAGTATAGATGTTGACAAAAAAAACATTGTTTAATAATACACCTTCCTTTAAGAGAATACCTACAGCTTCTATAAGAAATAAAATATTTTTTTATAAAATGGATACAAAAATATCAATTACTGTGAATGCAAAATTAATCAAATACGAGACGTAACAATGTGTATTTGATCAATAATAATAAACCGCAATATCAATATAAACTTCAAATTTAACAGAAAATAGAACTAATAAAACATTTAAACAAAATGTTCTTTGTTATTTATTGTCTAAAGATTTTAGCTAAGTATAAGTCATAAGTAGAGCCTACTGCACTGGTACGAGTATTCTGCGTCAGCAGTGTGACAGAAGGCAGCAGTTAATATAACTTATATTTATTACTTTTTTATTACTAATATAAATGTAGATATAATAAATATTATAGTCAACATAGATGATGAATTTGAATATACTGTTATAAAAATAATTATCAAAGAGCTATATCAATACATTATGATTGTTTTGTTTTACGTAAGTGGTCATTACGTATGCACCAAAGGGGAGTGGAAAATCTTTGCTTTGTTTATTTTTTATGACGAGATGTCCCGAATAGTCTCAATATTAATTAATATTTCATTTCAAAATTTTATAGGTTCTAATAACAACCAAACAAACCTAGTAATCTTTACGTTGTACGGAAGAGCTACATTAAATAATTAACCTACTTTCATTGATAAGAATGGTTTGAAATGAATGATTATTTCTCACTAAACCTTGAACGAACCCTTATAAAGAACAATCTAATTGAAATAAGTGGTCGTATTCTGTGAAGGTAAAATATTTAAAAGTACTAGGCGAGAGAAACTTATCAGCGTAGCCTAAGTGATAGCCTAATTAGGGAGACATAATAGAAGCGGGCCTATCTACGGGCTCCGTCGAGCAGTGTTCGCCGGCCTGCTGCATCATTAACGAAGCACTAGCTGGATAGCAGAATAAACGTATTGCTCTTTCTTCCCGCATTTGTGAATACTTATATTCATGGATATAGAGACTCCGTATGTTGAAATCAGTTTCTACAAAATGACAGATTCTTTTTTCAAATGTGCTGAGTTTAGGGATGACCCAAGATATGCATATCAAATGAAAATGTTTGCTAAGGAAAATATAACATTACTTCATTTTAATTCTAATATGGCGGATCATACAAGATAGTAGACTACTTATTTTTAATAAGTTTTATAATACCAGTAGCAAATGAAAGGCCTCACCGAGAACATCAATATAAAAGTTATTATATTAATATAAAAAAAAACTTATTTTTCTTAATAATTTTCAGTCGGAATCATGAAATTACAATGTAATCAAATATTAACTCTGAGTATTATTTCCCGTGGATTGAAACAAACACAACAAATGTCAAAGCCGCGCGCATAAACATGTCAATTTTGTAACATTATTAAATATTAATTACAAGCGAACATGATGTGATAAATGAGCCGTTATTAAAGAGATATTAATTATCTGTGGGTGAGAATCGAAAATTCACTATATGATAAGCGAAATCAAATATGTTCACCGCTAATCCCAACATATTAGTTTGAGTAAAACTCAAATAATTTAATTAAGTCTGTTGAATAAGTTGTGTTGAGGATCGTCAGCTGAACCGACCATTTTTTATACGTTGTCTTTGTTTTTATAGTTTTTTTATTATATTTGATTTTTATTTAATTTTGTTTTTGTATTGACATATGTTTCATTATTGATTGTCACGTGCTTTGACGAGGATATTTGTTTTGTGGACAATATAGTTTTTGAGAAGATAAGTTGTTTATTTTCACACCTGTGCCCACACCATTCCTCGTCACCCTCTTCGTCGATAACAAGTTGATTTATTTCACCTACTTTCTTATAAAAAATCAACATGTCCTTCATTTGATATGCTATTCACCACAAAAGTGGCATCATGTTTTAAATGAATTTATTTACGCAACAGAACTGCATTTTATTTTCCAATAAACATATGGGCGTCACACTGAAAAAATTTTCAGGTGTAGATGATGTTAAAACAAATTGTTTTCCAACGAAATGAGAAAGACAGTTTACAAAAGACATATACAGTACTGACCTTGTAAACGGCACGGTGACGTAATACGTATAGAAGAATATCGTGAGGACGGATAGTAACATGATGCCAGCGACGCACTTCCTCACATTGACGTGACTGGCCAACCAGTAGCAGCAACGCGGGGCCGCCGTTTTGTGCGCATGAGCATACTCGCCACCGCACTCAAGCAGCGGCGTGCGACTCCCTCGACCCTCGCCGGTCATACTTAACATCTAATCTCCACTATATTTACATACAAGTAACACTTAGGCCTCTACGGATATCACTGTACAATGTCTATCTGGGCACTCTAACAGCTGCGTTTGTCCTTGGTCGTGACGTTTTCTGTCGCCACTTTCCGTGTTTCCACATTTCATAGTGCTGAGTGGGAACGCGCCATTGCGCGGGATAGGTGTGAGCATGGGCGCCGCGGATGACGGCCATCTTGAGCCGACAAGCGCCGTTCACGGTTTAAAATGGCCGTCGACGCATTATGGCGGGTTGTGCTCATCACGCCGACGTCGTGTGCTCCTGGGGACAGAGCTCACGACATCTGCCTATGGAAGGTGTTGCTGCTTTTGAGTTTCGAGAACATCAGTGAAATCTGGAAAGAATGAAACCAAAGTTAACACAAGCGAAAATACATAGTTTTACACAAATAGTAAACGGATTGGGAGGTAATAAGAGAAAATCTACTCCTACATTCTTATACCTACAGATTGTTTTATAATGTAAGATTGATAAATTTAAATTTCTCGTGGCAGAGGTACATTTTACTTTTAAAATAATAACTGAATTCAGTTTAGTGACAATGCTATTTCAAATAAAGAAATCATTTTTGGTATCTACTTATGTATAAATAAATGGTTATAGCTTCTGTTTCTGTAAGCTAAACGTTTGTAGCAGGTTATGGGCTACGACCATAATACATTATTATAAAGTTTATCATAATTTGTTGTTCTAGTGAATAGTTAAGATCTTCGCAATAATACCGCTTATTGTTTAGGAGGTTACTGCCTTACACGTATCGTGTTACCAATTAGCAAATAAATCAGCAGCGGAACCAGTAAATCAATAGCATTAGGAACAAATTAATTTGATATTAAATTGTATATTTTAAGTACTTCTCGGACGAGAAAATTCGACATAATATAGATAACTATGCAAAGGCACCGAGAGTTACCTACTTAAAACATCAAATTACAATATTAATACTTCGTCGAAGATTGAATGCCAAAGCTTTATTAAACGATAACTGGAAGTAATTAATGAACGCGAGTAATTCATTACTCACATATAAATAAATTTTAATATTACGAATAAAATTAAAACGATGATAGCATCATATAACAAGAATATCTAATAGCTCTTGGCTACATATAGTACGATGCTTTTATATTTATTAATTAGAAATAATCTCAAAAATAATTACAAGAAGTAGAGATTTCACTAATAGGAATAGTTACCAGCATTTACATTGAGTAATATATCAAAACGAATAAGGTAACGTAAGAGTTCGCCGAGACGTGAATACTCCGGTCGACCGCTCGAGTCTTACAAATCCGACCTTTGCGTTATTTCAATGAAGGCTTACACTGAAACACTTCTTTGCAACTCCGAAACAAATCCGTTCGTCCGTAAAATTTAGATAGCTATCCCTAAAATTTCCGAATGTAATTCAATCAAAAAGTTAAATAACGAATACGAATTCCATTACAAAAAGCTTAAAAAATGTGGCTTTGTAACACAATGGAAATGTACAAGTTCATTAGAAATATAATAGATAGACATTTAATTAAATGAAACTGTGTAATCTAAAAATATAAATTAACGATTAAACAACATATTTCAGGCGTCGGTAACACGGACAGCTACGAATTTAATTTTTGATAGTCATACGTCGAGCCAAGGTAGATTATCGAAGTGAAATAATCGGAAATGGGAAAACCCACAGCAAAAGTAGACTATATCAAATGTACTCTGAAATTGAATTATAATAATGAAATTTCATCTGCGGATGCAATTTCAGAAGTCGAGGTTTTAGCAAAATTTGTATTTAGTTAGATACGGTGCAAATACAATTTGCATTAGTTCTAAGAGATACACTAAATTGGAAAAACAACTGACTATATTGTAACTAAAAGTGAGGTTTCAAAAGCCCGCTTCTAGGTAAGTAGCGACGGAGAAGAGACGCGCATAGAATCCGTGATCGTGTGACCCTTTGAATATTAACCAGCAGATGACCCAGTCGCAATCCGGCTACGGATCTTCGAAATACTCGAAAGGTTAATTCAAACCTTCTGTCGATAGACTTGGTTTATATTCAATATGATTATTATTTAGAAGTATCACTAATGATACTTCAATTTATTAAAAAAAAATCTTTAAAATACTTAAAGAAAATTCATCTTTCATCATCAGGCATGGAGGTTTTTTTTGTAATGTCAGATATATGTTTAACGGTCAATTGCACAAACGTCCGTTGTTGTTCAATGACAGCTTTAAGCTCATTGAACCGCAATGGACGTTTGTGCAAAAAAAGAATGTCAAATTTGTTTGGGTAATGTCGCTTAAAACTAATGACAATTTTAATGAACATTAGTGCAACTTGCTTTAGATGTTCATAATTTATATTTTATATAGTCAATATGGCTGATAGGCAATACAATAGAACATACCAAGAAGCTTTTTTACAATTAAATCCTAAAAACACCTTTCAATATTAGCGTCATCACGAATATATAATGAAAAAAAAAGTAATTGTAATCTTCAAAATAACTAATGACGTACAAGACACACTAATGTGTCAAATTTCAATCGGATAGAATTAGCCTAACTAACACACTACAGCGAAACTTTTTGATGTTGGCATATTGCAGAGCATGCTAATGAAACCGTTCAGACTCCGCAATTCGCTCTATAATATAGCCTCCAAATATAAATATGTAAAAATTTATAATAAGTAATTCAGTTATTTTTGTAAATATATTAATAAAGAACTATGAAACTGGTATGTTTTTTTAAAAATGAAGTTCCTTAAAAATATAAAGAATACTATCCTAAAAATATAATGGTATATATCTTTATTACACTGAAAAAAAAAAACTTTTATTTGTTTCTTACAAAACAAAAAATAAAATCCTTACATAAGTTTTAAACAACGATTATCACTGTAGAAGATGAAGAAAAACTGTAGCTGTTAATTAAAACGACTAAAGATGTTCATTTGGAACGCTGTTATTGCGCCGAAGATAAAACTGGAAACGAAATGAAGAAAGGTTTTAGATGTATATCTACTACTTCGCTGGCATACAATAGCGAGGGGCGGTGTTGACTTTACAGTCATACATTATAAATAATATACTGAGCCCTGTCCGGTAATATAGAATACGGTTTATTCTCCAGTATTAACAAAACAATGAAATATAGACATTGAAATCGATTAAAAGCAATTTATATTTAAGTATAATAATAAATAGAAAAAAATCTGAAATATATTATTTGCAGAAAGGGAACATAGATCTTTTAACGAGATTGAGAATATCCGACACAACATTATTTCCAACCCAATAAATACGAGATGTTATCCCGAAAATATAAAGGTTTCGATACCTTATATAAAGCTATTTATTTATTACACTAGTCGTGTTAGATTATATCGGATCAAAAGACAATGCTCTCAAGGCACCAAAGACGAAGGGACACCAAACTTATTATAACTTCGCTCGTTGACTATACACCTCATCATAACGGATCGGGTCCAATATATCCGCATTATAATGCGAGCCACTACCATAATGTTCGAGTATATATGTACTGGAATATTCGACCGTTTATACAGGGCACCACTGACGATGACAAGGGTCTGTCGAATGTCATTAAACGATCTGTAAGGGGCATCGCATTATACGTTCGCTCCAATGATCGTATTGCGGTGACAACTGAGAATAACAGTTATGCGGCTTGATTTCAGGATATTAAAATACATGAAAAAATAAATAACACACTATAACTTACCATGATGTATTTCTAAAGAATCGCTTGACCGAAAACAAGAAGTCTTGTAACAATAACGATGTTGAAAATATGAAAATGTAGTGCTAAGATTTATTTCAAATGTCAGTGCTTAATGTAGCAGCATATTTCGCGAGGCTGAGATAAGAGGCGTGGTGAAGTGAACCACAAGAAAGCCGAACATAGTAGAGCGTCATTAGGAGGGGAGACCACAGCGCACCCGCATATTTGGTCAAGATTAATTGCCCTAGCATCATCTGTCAACTCGGGCGTTCCATGGACATTTTATTTGTGGCAGAAATGGCGACACATATACGTCTTATCATATGTCATTATTTAAACGAAGTCAATCGCACGACATAAAGCTTATAAATCAACTTATTCCAAATTAAAATCATTGAAACGTTTAAAAGCGAAACACAATTGACCAATTTAAAACAAAAACACTTCAGAATCATACTTTTAAATTGAAAAATCCACACTAATTGAAGAAGCTCTTACGGTTCTCAACAATAAAACAAAAGAAAAGTGTAAACAGTATTGCGATACGAACACCAACTTTTGTACTCGTCTTCGTAATAACAACAAAAGGCGCATTTTGAAATGGAAACGGAGTAATATGCCGTTTCATAATTTATTTGCTGAATCTTTTACCTGGTTGTTTCATTGCTTGGAGCTTGCATAGCTGCAAGCCGAATAACAATCGAGTACTAATTGGCATTCTCTTAATTTACAAATGTTGGAATTGTTATAGTACAGTAAGAACGGCGAAAACAACAAAGCACTATTAACAGCCTTTATTGAAAATGTATACGTTGCTACAAAGACCTATTGTAGAAACCAAAACTGTAAACGTCTCTGGAAATTGCAGTACCAGAATAGATATGCTATTAAATAGATCAAAGGTAATCAAAGCCTCCATTTCAATTAAACTTCGATTCAGGGGTAACTACAATACCTGTTCTCTACCAATTGGAGTTGCAGCAAACAGATATCTCCAATTAACGGAACATTATGCGGCAGTATCAAATCATGAATTGTGCCAACACGTGCGTGAAACGCATGTTTAAACTGGCAGGATGCATACCAAGGATTGAGCCTAACTGTAGGGGTTTTTTTTTTAAACTACACAGCTTGTTTGCATAATATTATGCAAGTGACACTGGCTTTACACGATTACAGCAAATTTATGCAAGACATTATACGAGGACACCAGCGTCGCATAACAACGCCTTCAGTGTCCAAGCGGGGAAGGCTTCGCCTGTTCGTTTATGAAAACCCTCACTATGATATATGGCAGTGCTCGGCGGTACGTTATTGCCACCGAAAACGTCTCCTATGTAAACTGGTGTTCTTACATTATAGACGATATGTTGTTTTATTAGGTGGCAGTGTGGGTTTTTCCGTTAATGACGGCAGAACGGGGGGCGCGGGACGTGGACGCGTGATAATCCTCCCGACCATTAGGCCCGACCACTCGCTCGCAAATCGTCCGCATATTTTGCCCAAGATTAATTGTTCTCGAATATCATCTATCACGGTGAGCTCTCTCGTGACCGTCGTCGGCAATGCGTACGACGTTTTATTTAA